CCCTAGAAAAGACCCTAAGATTGTCACTGATTATCAGAATGTAGCTATTAAAAAGAAAATTTGATGAAGTAAAAATGTGTTTCATTTTAATTAATTCTGTTTTCCTTTTTTGTGTCCTTTACCAGTTTATATGAAGAACAGGTTAGGAAGTGGCATAGCTAAGGCAGTGCTAATAAAATGGTGGGACATCCTTGCATCTGAGGGGTGAAATGTCAGGAGGGAATTGGATGCGAGGTACTCTCCTTCAGGAGGTCAGACCAGAGAGTGGCAGTGTGATGTTCCGTATTACTGCCGTCTACCTCAACGATGGACCTGATGCTGAGAGCGTGTGTGGCTGGTATTCTGGGATGCTCCTGATTTGGTGACCTGAACCACACCAAGGATATATGATCTATCCGGTACATGGTAAGTGGACTTTTATGTCACAAGTGTCATGTATTTGTATTCAGGAAGTAATTGTTTAAGAAACTGGGTCTTTGTGTCAGTAATGTATGAATTTAAATAAACTTGACAGCTTGCTCTGAGAAGGTCTAAACCTCGTTGTGAATGCTCTAAACTCAAAACCTTTGATAACTTTCAGATTCAGAATGGAAATTGGCTTCTAATGCACTGGAGTGATTTTTACGGGGTGGAACTAGAAATTCTGAGTCAATGCGTTTTCTCCATTTTAATAGATTAGTTAGTGTTCTAAAATTTCTAAAATGGTGCAGCAAAGAATGAAATTGCTTCAACATAACTTCTGCATTTCTGAAGTCGACAAAAGGCATGACATCTTATCAGGATTTTAACATTTTCAAATTATGTGACCTTTTTTGTATTCATTCAGGTCAGTCCTGGTTTTAACACCTTCCATCTTGACAGCAGATGTTACTGGAATGGGGACACGGCTGCTACCATGGCAAACCCGATAATCCTATACAAGGTAAGCAGTGTTTGGTCATCACTGAAAGGGGCACCCAACACAACACAGCACATTTCATTTCTAAGATCTTCACAGAAAATGAGAAGCAAATATTCTGAAGAGTTAATCCTGCATGATTTATTTCATAAAACTGTCCAGTAGGTTTACAAAGTTTTGAACATGAGCTGTTAATATTGCTAGATATGGTGCTAACATTGCTTGTATCTCTTTAACTTTTAGAGACTGAATGGTCAGAGGTCAGACAGCATGTATGCTGTTCATGCTGATGAGCAGGTAACTGTTTTTTTTTCTGCAGTGAAAGCTTACATTGACTCAGTGATCTGATTGTCATGATAGAACACTGTCAGCTTCCTCCCCCCACAGTAGCACTATTACCTTTCCTTGAGTAAGAATATACTGATAAAAAACTTTGGACAGTTATTTTCCCCCAAAAATTCCATATTGCCCCACCAACTGGATCTGGATATATGTTTTTGCCTGTGCTTTGAAAATAATTCGTGAATTTGTCAATACCTATTTTCTCACTTTTCCAGTGTCAATAAATGTGCCTTTGAAAATCTGCTTGAATGAAAACAACAGATTTTTAAATACTCCTGGACAAGTTTCGTGTTTCTGAGCGGGTGCTAAAATAAGTGACCTAGTCCATACTTGTTCTTTGAAGATTCTGAATCACTGAAACTCTATTTTTTTTTTCAAAGAAACCTGAAATTTGATACAAACGTCTCTTCAGTGCAAATTTTTCCTTTTCATTTCCAGAAAGCTGCCGATGTTGACTTCCAAGGACGCCGGCTGTGAGGGAGGATCTGTGATTAGGGAACACACTAGGTGATGAGCAGGCTGATGCAATGTTACCGCTTTTACGGCCTCAAAACAGTATCCAGCCTCTATTGGGCTAGAACTTTGCAGTTTGGCATATCAGTGTTATATTGTCAGTGTAAAGTTTAACAAGAAGTTGTTTGAGAGTTTTCTGGAGTAACTGTCCTGTCCATGCAGAAAACGTGGCCAACAGTTTACTTTGTTCTATTTGATAAATGAAATGAGTATTTTAATTTTGTCGGGTTATTGATATTTTTGCACTGCTTGAAACATTAAAAGTGAGTGAACTGTTTGTGCTATGTGACAGGTCTCTCTGTAGATGACACATTCTGTTTTTTCTCCTTTCTTTTTCTGAATCCATGAGGAGGATGATTGTTCTCCAGCTCAAATTCCAAACCGCTGTAGAAAATGGATGTTAGGAGAAAACTGCATTTTGCAAAACAGGAAGAGCTTTTTCTAAACGTATCAGTGTTTAATTTTGGTTAAAATAAATGATTTATTAGGAAAAATTTTGCATTGACAGGAACTACATTATACAAACTGTATTCTATGGAATCAATTTCAGACAAATATTGACCATATTTCACATGGAATTTCAGACAAGTATCAGTATTCTCAATTACTAAAACAGTGGTGTTTTGCAACTCAGAATTCAACTCAGAATAGAGGGTCCACTTTAAACTTTGAAATATTTGAAATGAGGGTACTTTTGTTGTAGAACGTGCCTGGATTTGACTGGAAGTGAAGTTGTCACAGGGACCAGAGAAGTTACTTTGTTAAAACCAGGACTTTGTAATTAAAAGTGGAAATAGAAAGAAAAACACAAGAATTCAAGAAACTGAGATTCACAAAACTTGCTGTTACTAGAAGAGTTTCACTCCTGGAGAGTCGACTGTAATTTCAGTGGAATTCAGTTTTAATTGAAATAAACCATAAAGAACTAAACTTGTTCTGATACCCTTCTAAATGCGTTTATTTTTTTTCTCAAGTACTTGAGAGTAATTA